AAACATAGGGTATGTCAAATAATCCTTTATAATGACAAGAGCAGTTTTTGTATAGTTTAAGACATTGATCATCGATAAACGAATGCAATCGTTTTTACTTCACTATAATCAAAGTGTAATTGTGGAAGTGAAAGAAAATAGTAGATAAAAGGTTGCTAGTTGAGAGCAGCTGTCGTAACATAAAAAAAAAACCTTGTTAAAATAAACAGATGTGACATCTTGGTTCTTTTCAGTTTTTATTTTTTTCTCATAAGAGGTGTTTAAGTTAACTGCTGTGATGACCCTTTGTGACACCAGCCAAAAAGAGCCTCCTATTAGTAAAGCTGCATTGTAATTGTAGGCCAACATGCACTCTATAAATTTTGTGCCTCTTGATGAAATCCGGATTATATACCCTATAGTTTAGGTATATTATTCTACTGCAGTACTCATCTTAACTTCATGCCTTGATAATACTTTAGGTGTTGTGATTAGCTTACATGTTTTCATGGCTGTTGCAAAACTGATTTTCATCTTTACACCTATCCTACTCATATTACCTATAAAGGAGTGGATGTTTCTTTTATACAGCACAGTGATTGTGCTAGTGATTAACATTAAGCACAATGATTGGTGAATGGTGATGCTGGCAGGTCGCCTGTTAGGCATTACCTCTACTAACAGTGTTTGTATTTTATGTGTATTTTTGATAAAATTGTCTGGCATGAAATATATTTCAGTAGTCCATTTGAGAAATCTGCGCAATTGTTTAGCTATGGGGCTTGTATGCATATTTCTAGTGATACCTGATAACTTAGCATTCCATCCTCTAAAATATGTTAATTTTTTTGGTTGGTATTGGTACTAATTTAAAATATATACCTCAAACGTGCACTATGAAAAATGCCTGAATATTTTTGTGTTGGCTGTCATGTCTATTCTGTACATATTTTATATATTTTATAGCACATTTAAACAGCAGAGGTTGACCCAAAGTGTTTTAAAGACCGGCACATTTACATTACAATGTATTTACGTGAAAAACTGAAAGATGTGTTTTACTGCGAAAAGTAAAAATCACAGTGATTTGTGGTAATGGTAAATGGCCTGTATTTATATAGCGCTTAGTCCCTAAGGACCCCAAAGCGCTTTACACTACATTCAGTCATCCAAACATTCACACACACATTCACACACTGGTGATGGCAAGCTACATGCAGCCACAGCCACCCTGGGGCGTACTGACAGAGGCGAGGCTGCCGAACGCTGGCACCACCGGGCCCTCTGACCACTACCAGTAGGGAACGGGTGAAGTGTCTTGCCCAAGGACACAACGACCGAGACTGTCCAAGCCGGGGCTCGAACCGGCAACCTTCCGATTACAAGGTGAACTCCCAACTCTTGACCCACGATCGCCCAGTTTAATGGTCATTAAACTTGTTTCAAAATTTGGCAAACGGATAATGATTCGCTGCTCTCCTCTGCATAACCTCACTTTATTGGTTAAAAGTATTGGTATTGATACAGCTCAATCTGCCTCCACGCGTCTGTTTTTCGATACTGCTTCCCTCAACACGCAGCAGTCTGCG